CCAGGACAGGCACCAAAACTACACTACATGGAGAAACCCTGTCTTGAAACAACAACAACAACAACAACAAAAAAAAAAAAAAAAAAAAAAAAAAAGAAGGAAAATCACAGAACAGTGTGTTCGGTACCTTGGCCTGAAGAATGTAATTTTCTTGGTTCAGTTTGAAGAGCTCCTCTTTTTGCTGTCTCTTTAGATTTTCCAGCGCGTTCTCCAGCTCCTTCTCCTTTTCTGAGAATGTAATTTTAATTTGTTCAATTAGGGCTTGTGCACCCCTCCATTTTTCCTCTGCGTCCTGAGCTCTTTTCAACATTAGCAATTCTTTCTCTCTGTTCCCACCAGAGGATCCTGAAGGCTCCTTTCAAAAAGAAGCATGACTTTATTATCCTAGTTGTATGGTTAAGACTAGCACACAAAAACAGAAACACAGAGCCTGGGACCAACACGGTTAATAATGCTCTATTACAAAGAAACCAGTAAGAGCAATGTGAATAAGGGAAAGACATCTCTTATTTCATTTGTACACATTAATCAACTTCAATTGTCATATTTTCTAACAGTATACAATGAATATATTCTTTACTTATAATCTAGTTTTAAAATGATTTTAAGATATGAAAATTATTAACATGAACTTCAATACCTACAGTCTGAAACTGGTCAGAGGCATCAGCTGTGGCATCTTCAGGCCTCTTAGGAGTAGCTAGGCTACCTTCACTTTGGGGGGATGGTTTATTCAAAGCTGCAGGCTTGATGAGTTTTGTTCCAGATAATATTTCTAAATATTATATAGATAACAGAAGAAAGCATAATAAAAGGAAGGTTGAATGTGCATTCAGCAATGATGGACAATAAATATGAGGACAGCGGCAATGTGGAGGTAAAATGTAGATCATTACATGGGCTGAGACACCACACCACAACACTGCACCCCAGCAGCCACCCACTGTACCCCAGCAGCCACCCACTGCACCCCAGCAGCTGCCCACTGCACCCCAGCAGCCACCCACTGTACCCCAGCAGCTGCCCACTGCACCCCAGCAGCCGCCCACTGCACCCCAGCAGCCACCCACTGCACCCCAGCAACCACCACAATCAACATCTACAGATGGGGATAATGATAAATGCGAGGGGACTGTGGAACAGGGTAACTTCAAGACTTTCCCACTTTTAAACAAATTATTCTTTAAGAGAGTCACAGTAAGGATGCCCACATGATGAATCAGAAAGAGCAGCTGGTAGTATGAAGACTGTTAGTTCTGAGTCAGTGTCTTGAGCACTCTTGATATTCAGTGTGAGACAGGGCATCACAGCATCAATGGAGCAACGTCCATCGCGGAGGACACCACAGCAGTTAGCTTAAGTCTGACTTCAAAGGGTAATTAGTACGGTTATAATTCAATAGCATCATCTAGCATTAGAAAAGAGTGTGACTAATATATATTTGGTCTAATTTTCTGCTTTTACAGTAACTTGTAAACTCTAACGAGGGAAGAAATTCTGAGGCCAGTATGGTATTCAGTTAGCAATAAGCATTGTAAGGGACATGCTTCTGTAAAATCTTAAAGCCCATATTCAAACGTGACAGGCTCTGTACATTCCATAAACATTACCCAGATGCCTTAAAGGTGAATAAGTAACTTCAAATTTTATTTTATTTTTTAACAATGATTTCCTGAAGATTTGTTAAATGTATTTTTTAAAATTAAAACTATTATCATATATTTGGAAAACACAGATAAGCTAAAAGAAGAAAATAATTCAATAGTTCCTCATAGAAAGATTCATTTCTATCTTTTTTTTGTAGGCATATAAAAGTTTTCCTTATAGTCATCATCATACTTAGTGTGTTTCATGTATGTTTCTAAAGAAGTTTCTTAGAGCATTCATAAAAAGATGGAATCGTTGCAGAAGAACATGTGATCCCTCCCAATCATTGGCAGGTTATACCATGACCAAGGTCTAGGTGTGTTCTGCCAGCACATCACTGTTAGGACCAGACAGCCAAAACCAGGTGGTTTTGTGTGTACAAGTGTAGCCGACCAGTCCTTTTACACCAGAATCTCCATTCCTTAATCTTTTCTCCATATGTCGGAGTGTTTATGGAACGTACATTGTGCACCGTGCTTGTGTCTGGTGCCCACAGAGGCCAGAAGGGGGCACTGAATCCTCTGGCACAGGAGGTCCAGACAGTTGGGAGCCACCACGTGGGTGCTGGCAAAAGAACCAGGTCCTCTGCAAGACTCTACCCGGTATTCCCACCCCCCATTACCTAAGAAAGAAAAATTCTCAATATGAAATTCAAACAGAAAAACACTGCAGAATTAAAACCCTGAGGCCCTCTTTGAAGAAACGATGCATTAATAACATTCAATCAAAAAGAAATGAACCAAAGTAATTCCACAGTGGAGCTACTATCAGTAACAGACATCCAAAATGTCTTTAACAACCAGACGCAAGAACTAAATCTCCAAACTGAGAGAGATACGGTTGTGCGAGAAAATATACCTTGAAAAAAGTAAAACCACTGGTTGAGTGGCGTGGGGAAGGAGAATATATTACTTCATATTTCCTAGAAGGGAAGGAAGTGTTTGGCAATACATAAAATTGAAAATAAAGCCAGGAAATAACATTATGGCTTTAGCAATCTCTCAAAAGTTATCAAAATCTATTTTCTTAAGGGGATCTCTTAGAACATGTAATTTTTAAGGATGAAGTGTATCTCCTTGGAGATTTAAGTAACCTACATCTAATATATTTAAAAAGAACTTCTAGGGGCTGGGGAGAAGGTTCTTCCAGAGGACCCAGATTTGATACTTAGTGCCCATCTGGTGGCACACAGCCGTCTATAACTCCAGTTCTGGGAGGTCCAATGCCCTCTTCTGGGCTTCTCACATTCCAGGCATGCAAATGGTACACACACACACACACACACACACACACACACACACACACACACACACACACACACACAAAATGGCAAAAATACCCATACACATAAAATAAGTTAAAAAGTTAAAAAAATAAAAAGAACTTATAAAGTGTGATCTCATCATATGTTATAAACTGATTTTTAGGTCAGTATATAAACTAATGGGTTTCATCTGGCATTTTCAGGTATTACTCTTAGAAAACATTTAGTCCATTTATCTACTTCTACTCTCTACTCACCCACCCATCCACCCCCACGCACCCACCCACCCACTCATTTTCTCCCCTCATTTAAGCACTCAGCACTGCACAGTATTCCTTGTTACCTTTCCTTTTTCTTATTTTCTCCTATTTTTGAATTTTAACTCATCAGCAAGTTTTCTTTTCATAACAGTATTACTTTACAAAAGAAAATATAAACATGAAATGCTAAATAAAAGGTAACTGGAAAAAAAGGCAGCCCCGCATGGCAAGTCTGCTAGCCACTCACCTCCACTTCCCACTAACAGACACCTAATTCTCTCACAGGCAGCAATGTGCTCAGCTCAACACAACTGTCCCCCCAAATTGTATGCAAACTGGGGTGGCTACACGTTTTAGTCAAATGCTGGAAGCAAAAGTCTCCTCGGTAGGTGTTTCAGGGCAGAGATTCTAAGAAAATGCTAAGGGTTTGGCTCATCTATTGTTATTCATGGACAGAACGTGGAGACAGACATCATTTTGTAAGAATGGAGACAGAGGGAACTGCAGAAATGCTTCAGTGGTTAAGAGCATGCATTCTCCCTGCAGAGAACCTAAGTTTGCTTCCCTAAATCCACACCAGGGGGCTGATCACAATCACCTGTAACTCCAATTCCAGGTCATCTGATGCCTCTGACTTCGATGGGTACCTGTACTCACATACATGCACATAACTCCACATAGACACACTCTTTCAAAAAAAAATTCTTACAAAGAAGACAGTAGTCACACTGTACAGATTTTGCAATAAGGAAGAAGGGATCTGGTTTCTTTCCGGTGTATCTCTCAGCTCCCTATCTCTAAACTCACCATTACATCAAAGAGAAAAGACTTTCAATTGGTTAAGCAACTGGGCTTAATTTTTTTTAATTCTAACCAATGTTGATCTGAATTGCATTCTCTACACTAGTTTGCTTCCCAAGGAACCCAACCTGTAACAATCACTCCAAAAGAATTACAGTTCTGAATAAAACTAAAGCCACTCTGGGCAGAGTATCAATAAAGAGATAGATACAAAAACCATACTTAGCAGTCTAAAGAGAGGTTAAAGTAGTTCAGTAAAAGAATAGCTAGACAAGGTCCATTGTTGTGGAACAGTATTTTAACTAGGCAAAGATGTGTTACATTTGTTTATGCTGCAGAATATTACTTTAACTATGTGAAGGTGTGCTACATTTGTTTCTGCTGCATTTATTTAATTATGTAAAGATGTGATTGATCTAAAAAAAAAGATGAATGGCCAATAGCTAGGCAGGAGAGAGATAGGTGGGGCTGGCATGCAGAGAGAATAAATAGAAGGAGAAATTTAGACTTGGGGGAGAAGCAGGAGGAGAGAATAAGAGAGAAAGAGAGGGAGATGCCTGGGGCCAGCTAGGCAGCCGCCAGCCAGGAGACACAGAGTAGGACATACAGAAAGAAAGGTAAAAGCTCCGAGGCAAAATGTAGATGAAGAGAAACAAGTTAAGTTATAAGAGCTAGCATGAAATAAGCCTAAGCTAGGTCCGAGCATTCATAAGTATACGAAGTCTCTGTGTCATGATTTGGGAACTGGTTGGTGACTCAAAAGAAAAAGCCTGGTATAGTCCATCACTGCATGTTTTAGTATAAAAATGAGTAATGTGTTTAGATTCTGATAGTCACAAATACTGTAAGATTTTAAAATATGGAAAAACACGTTTAGAATGTTAGTTAACTTATAAAAATATTGTTGCCTTCAACTATCAACCCATCATTTACCTTGATCTCTTCTCAATCACCATGACACTTCTGTCTTCATGTGCAATGATTTTCAGCATCCTCAGGCTGGCAACCCCTTGCCTTTGGTTCCTTAATGTTCCTTCCGAATTCTTAGCTGCTCACTCACACGGGCATGATCTACGTTATCATCACCAATCATGCAATGACCTTCTAACCTCCAGCTTAGTAACCTCTTGGACGCCTACTTCTCATCCTCCCTTCTTTCCTCTTCACTGCTATCTAATGGCATGGCGTTTGATTTCTGAGAAGACTGTAGCAGACAGAAGGAACATCCAGATTTCCTCCCTCCCACATCTAGCCAACTGCCAGCTTGTGCTCTCTTCCTGTGCCTCCGCATTTCCTAGAACTCAGAACTGTCCACGTTCCTCGATAATGCAGTCCTATTGTGCACCATTATAGGTCTTCTAAGGCAAGGGCACTGCCCTACTTCCTTCTATCTACTGCACTATCCTTTCCTTTTCCTTCCATTCAGTCTTTCTTAATGGCACACATATAGTCACTACAGCTACTAAGAGTAAAGCCACAAGTTTCTTTTTCAAATTTTTAAAAAGGTCTTATTCATTTGTGTATTTTATGTATGTGTTTTGTCTACATGTATATCTGCACACCAGAAGGGGACATCGGATTCCATTACAGAAGCTGTGAGCCACCATGTGAGTGATGAGAATTGAATGCAGGACCTCTGGAAGAGCAGCCAGTGCTCTTAACTGCTGAGCCATCTCTCCAGCCTCTCCTTTTTTTTAAAAAAAAATTTAAAATTATTATTATTGTGTGTATAATATGTGTATAAATGTGTGGAGGTATAGAGGCCAGAGGACAACCCTTAGGAGTTGGTTCTATCTTTCACTTTCATGTGGGTTCCAGGATTAATTCAGGTTGCTAGGCTAGAGCGGCCAACATCTTTACCCACAGTGCTATTGTGGTGGCCCCCAAGGCATCTCTTAACTCCTCTTCCCAAGTCAGCTACACCAGCTTCCATCTTCCACAGGAACTTTCCTCCAGAACGTTCTATTACTTGAAGCACTAATTCCACCCACATCCTCCCCTACACTCCCATTCAATCTGCCTTTCAGTCAGTGCTGCAAGGGAACTGCCCTGCCCTGCTGAGGACCACCGGCTGGCTATAACCGAAGAGCAGTTCTCATGAGTCCAGTTTCCTCCCCTGTGGGCAGCGAGTGGCAGGAGAGACCCCCCTGGAGACACAACGTCCCTAGATGGAAGGTTCTGTCAGGGTTCTCCTGCCCCACTCTGCCAGCTTTGCAGATCCCCTGGGTCCTGTGGGATCTGCTAGTTAGTGAGCTGTTTGGGTTTACCCTCCAGGTACCCTGTCATAGCTTCAGGTGTCGAAAGACACAGACTTAAGGGTCATATGGAAAGAAGGTACCTCAGTTAAGGAATTGCCTCTAACAGACTGGTCTGTGGATGGCATGTCTGTGGGGCATTTTCTTGACTGCTAATTGAAGTAGAAGGGTCAGTCCACTGTGGGCGGTGCAACCCCTAGGCCAGGAGACCTGGGATGTATAAGAAAGGTAGCTGAGAAATCCAGGGCAACCAAGTCAGTAATCTGTGGTTTCTGCTTCAAGCCCCTGCCTTGGCTTTCCACAACGAGGGACTGTAGCCTGTAAGTTAGAACAAATTCTTCCTTCCCCAAGTTGCTTTCGGTCATGGTTTTATATCATAACAAGAGAAAGAGCTAACAAGGACATCCTCATGCTCAGAAAGTATCACTGCTTAAAACAAAACAAAACAAAACAAAACAAAACAAAACAAAACAAAACAAAACAAAACAAAACAAAATGCCTCTTCTGGTCTTAGTAAGTTCTCAAATGGTATTTTGAGTCTACTTCCTCTTGAATGCCAGACTTTCAATCTAACTGCCTTCTGTTCATCACTACTTGTAAATCAAAATAGTCATCTTCAAGTTAGAATCTCTCCTTCCTCTCAGCCCAAAAATTTACCTCACTTTTCCTCACCCCAGGGAGTGGCAGCTCAGTACTTCAGCTGCTTGGACCCAAAACTGCAGCGACCCAATCAGATTTTTATATTATCAGTTTTACCTTTACACATCTTTTCATCAACCACTTTTCGCTGTCTTCATCGCCACCACCCTAGGTCAAAGGCTCTAAACTACTCCTACCCTAAACGGAACACCCAGTTCTTTAATATTCTCCTCCACAAAAAACAAAGGAAATGAAATAATATGCTATATGCATCAAACTCTTACCTTGAAAAGAATGTATTCTCACCTTTTCTCCTAAACTGATTTGAGGTGGGAATGGACCTCACGTTTTTACTTTTTGTATTGTCCTTCGAAGTTTTCTTTTCAAGAGCAGAAAGTAACTGGAGCGGAGAACTGGGTTTGCCATAGCCTGAGCTCCGAGTGGAAACATACAGTCCACTCTGTGGCTTTCTCTTAAGCAGAGGAGGTGCACTTCTGACCTTCTTATACAGAACTTGTTTGCCGGTTACAGGTCCCTCTTCCCCAGTGCTGAGCCGAGTCCTGGAAGTCTGTATACAACAAGAAAAAACTCTTGAGTATGGAAATAAACTTCAATGACTGTTGTTGTTAATGAAAATTTAACACTTGGCAAGACTGTGATTGGCAAATAATCGAGGACTGAGAAGGACATACTACTACAGCAAGGTTCTCTAATTTATTAGAATTCGGTGGGTTGAAGCCCATCTTCAAAGTTAGCATTAGGACAAAGTACTTTAAAGCAAAATAAACTTGCTGGAAAGTAAGGTGTGTGTAGTTACTAGAATAATGAATACATCAAGGAGGAAGTGATTTTGAAATGACAACTGAAATTGTCATTTCAATTTTGTTTGGATTTAAGGGACATTGAAAATATCAATACTCTGATGGCTAGTGAACTGTCAGCCTGACAGAGTCTGGTTGGTAAATGGCCTGGGAGCCTGGGGTGAGAAGTTCTCCTGACTGGTGAGAAGGCTCTCCTTTCCCTGACTGGGACCCTGGACTATACAGAAGGGGAAAGGAACTGTGATGCATCTGGGATTCATCGCTCTCATCTTCTCTCATGTCTGCTGCCTTGACTTTCCCACCACGACGGGCTGCACCGTGAACTGTGAAGCAACAAAGCCTTTCTTCCCCAAGTCACTTTTTTTCTAGAGTATTTTATCACAGTAACAAAAAAGAAATACAGCACATTGCCTAGACGCTTTATAGCAAATACAAAATTAGAAGGTAAAAATAGAACACTGGAACCATAGGAACTATAAAGCAGAAAGATAAAAACAGAAAGAACAATGAAATGTGCCTTTCGTCACAGTTGCTAATCACAATCCTATAAAATGCCAACTCTCCTGTGGTGCAGACTATGAGGCAGACGAGCCGTGAGCAACACACTGATGCAGAGACTAGCTTCTGGAACTACCCAAGTCTTAAACCAGTTACTCAAAGGAAAGAGAAAGGAGAGAAAGGGCAAGAGGACACGGATATTGCTGTGCTCAGAGATCAGTGCCTATCCCAACTGTTACCACAGGGGTGCCGACCAGAACCTACGGGAGCAGATCCAGAGACCCAGAGCTGAACACTAGACTGAGCCAGGGAACCCTGTGGAGGGCAGAGGGAGGGGAGGGTGCAGGGGCCAGAGGGGCCAAGGACACCACAAGGACATGGCCCACAGAATCAACCAGGCAGGGCTCATAGGGGCTCAAAGACTGAAGACAATCATGGACCCTGTATGGGTCCGAGCTAGGTCTGCATATAGGTATAGGTGTGTAGCTGGGTGTTTTTGTAGGACTCCTAACAGTGAGGTTTGGGGGTGTCTCTGACTCGTCTGTCTGCTTATGGGACCCTTTTCCTCCTACTGGGTGACCTTGTCCAGCCTTGATATGAGGGTTTGTGCCTAGTTTGACTGTGACTTGTTATGCTGTGTCTGTTAAATCCCTGGGAGGCCTGCTCTTTTTTTGAAGAGTAATGAAAGAAAAGTGCATCTGAGGGAGAGAGAATGTAGAGGGGGTGTTGGAAGAATGGAGGGAGGGAAACCTGTGGCTGGGGTTTAATGTATGAGAGAAGAATAAAAGAGAAGAAGCAAGTGAATGGTAGGGTGGCACTTTGAACTGGGAGACTGGCTGGTCTAGTAATAAGCGCCACCCACGGATGATGACATCAGCCCCACGAACTCAAGCATATACTTCTTACCTGGTTCGTTTTGTCATCCTGAGGTAATAGTGAAGGGTTAGCAGCTGTTTTTTTCCTCAAAATCTCAAGGTACATTTTGTCCAACCGCTCTTCCATACCAGCTGCTGCCGGACAGCCGCCGCCCACGCTGGCCCCCACTGTCCTGTGTAAAGCCGCACTCTCACCCGGTTTGTGGGGAAACGGGCTCCTGAGGGTGAGGTCTTCAGTCACGGTGTGTGCGTGCATCTTCAGGGGTATGGAGCTCACAGAGTCCCCTTCTTGACTCTCAGCTGCATTCTTACGGCTACAGATGAAGGGAGGGCACAGTATAAACTGCATGCAGCATAATCCCTCAAGTTCCATGGTTATCCGCCCCCATTTGTACAGACATAGGAGCTGTAACTCTTCAAATGAAGTTACAACGTTAAACACGTCATACAATACAACGCAATACCAGTTAGTCTGGGACGCTCCCAGGTTATCCTGTAACTGTTTATACTTTTTTCTGTTCTTTTGAGTCAGGGTCTCCTGAAGCCCAGGCTGGCTTCTAACTCACCTTTTAGAAGGGGATGCGTAACTCCTGATCCTCCTGCCTCCACCTCTGAGTGCTGAGATTATAAGCATGTGCCATTATGCCTGACTCATTTCAGATAATTTTAATGCAGCACAGTAACTTTTACCACAACTTCTTACTAAATCAATATGTATTTGGTTTTTTTGTTTGTTTGTTTGTTTTGTTTTTCAAGACAGGGTTTCTCTGTGTAACAGCCCTGTGAAGCATGATCCTAATTAGTCTTATCAATAAAAACCAGGAGTCAGGATATCGGGATAAAGCTGAAAGATCAGAGAAGCCACAATCACTTCTTACCTCTCTGAATCCTCAGACCAAAAGGGCCTGAGATCCCGTCTCCACCTGCCTTATATTCCTGTTTCCCCTCTCTCTAGTGCTGGGATTAAAGATATGCACCACCACCACCACCACCACCACCAGCACCACCACCACCACCACCACCACCACCACCACCACCACCACCCACCTGGCTCTGTTTTTGTTTTATACTGGCTCAATCTCCTATAGCCCAGGATGGCCTTGAACTCCTGATCTTCCTGCTTCCTCCTTCCAAGTGCTGGGATTAAAGGTGTGTGCCACCAATGCCTGGCCTTGGGGGTTAACTAGTGGCTAACTCTGCTCTCTAATCTCTAGGCAAGCTTTATTTGTCAGAACACAAACAGAACACCATACAACAGCCCTGGCTGTCCTGGAACTCCCTCTCCAGACCAGGCTGGCCCTGAACTCACAGAGATAACACCTGCCTCTGCCTCCTGAGCGCTGTGCCACCGCTGCCTGGCTTATATCAATCAACACATATCTGAAGTAGGGGAATTTTTTTATATATCTCTGTAAGACTCTAAAGGACTATAATTTATGACAGGGAATCATAGAGTGTACTAAAAAGCATAGAAATAACCACAGCATAGGAAAATTTCAAAATAAAAACATAAAAATCACCAGGATTTTAAAATTAGACCATTTACCATTTAATGAACTGAAATAAATTAGACAAGTATTAAAAATGTCAGAAACAGGGGCTGGAGAGGTGGCTCAGTGGTTAAGAGCACTGCTGCTCTTGCAGAGGACCTAGGTTCAGTTCCCAGCACTCAGAGTGACTCAGAACTGCCTGTAGCTCCAGTTCCCGAGGACTCAGTGCCCTCTTCTGGCATTTTATGGGTATCAGGGATGCACATGGTGACCTGAAATAATACACTCCAACACTAATAAAGATTTTTTTTTCAAGACAGACTTTCTCTATGTACAGTCCTCCTGGAACTTGCTCTGTAGCCCAGGCTGGCCTCAAACTCACAGAGATCTGCCTGCCTCTGCCTCCTAGTGCTGGGATTAAAGGCGTGTGCCACCACACCTGGCTATATCATTTTTTTTTTAAATTTGGGAACTATATTTCCAGAGAATGTCTTATATTTAGTTAAACACCAGTAAGCCACAGGGGTTTTAAAAATGCGAATATATTATGATTTGTGATTGAAGAATATTTTAAGAGGCTACCATTTTTATACTATGTAGACAAGCTACTCAGTAAATGCTGGAAACTTCTAAAGTACTTGGAGTCAGTGGGAAATACATCAGCTCCTTCCTTGTCTAGATGCCAATGCAAACTGTTTCCTGTTCTTGCTGGGTACCAGTTCAGCTACATTTCTCGGACATTTATTAATTCTTGCCATTAGGATGTGGGCACTAGCATGGATGGGTTTTAGGTGCCAGGAAACTGATGGCAGAAGCTGGAGAGAGGCATTTTAATGCAAAACACTTGCTCATCTACCACTTCTAACTTCCTGTGAGGGGACCACATGCCACACCTGGAGCAGTAAGGAATAAAAGGCTGGAGAGGAATAATGATACTATGTGCTGGCTATTACTGGCTGCTTTCAGCAAGATCTTATAAAAAACCAGATGAACGCAGGACAGATGGGCTCTTCCAGAGAACTGACAGAACTGAAAAGAAATACTAAGAAATATTAAGATCTATTGGGTTTACTTGTCACGTATACACATCAGCAAAGGACTCACTCTGGAAAGATGGTATGAGAAATAGAATTTCATTAGATTTTTCAATTGAAAGAGTGCTGAATGTTTCTGACAGGGCCATAGATCCCGTGTCTTCTTCACACGGGGTTACTGTTCCCAGAGGGTCAAGAACCAAATACCTCAAGTAGATTTAAAATTTCATCTAGCAAAGGAACTTTAAATCTGGTTACTGGCACATGGAGCAAGACAGACGAGAAGCCATGGAGAGGGAGGGCGGTACTTACAGGCAGTGATGAGGCAGTCATGTGGTTGGGTTTAGAACCAATGAGAAGGCAGAACAGAAAGACTATTTAAACACAGACAAACAGGAAGTAGCTCTCTCTCGGGGAAGTTAGGAGCACTGCAGGAGGTAAGATTTTATCTCTGAGCTCTGACCTCTCGGCTTTCTCTTTTACATTGGCTCTGTGTTTCTTATTTTAAAAAGACGATTGGTTACATCTACATCTGGCGCCCAACGTGGATGGAGGACCACCAATCATGGTCAAGAGCAAAGCAGAGCAGAACAACTCCCCAGAGCCAGAAAATGGGAGTCCCAAAACTACCTGAGGCAGGAAGGAGACTGAGAAAAAGCATGTCACCCAACACGGCACATCCTCCTCACAAAACCACTTTGGCTTGGCCAATGTTGACAATCTGAGATAAATCCTCCAAGGAACAGGAGCAGCGGCTATCCAGAGCAATATATTAGGATGTAGTTCTAGAAAAGCACAATGAGCTGATCCAGCAATCCCATTATTTATGGTTTTTAGGAGGTCCTTTAGTTCTTTGTTAAGTGGTTACACTGATGCTCTGTTTCCCTCAGACTTTCTGTTTCTAAATGGAGCCAGTTCCATTATTAGATGCTGACTGGGGGTAAGGAAGCACATTACCCGTCTTTTCACTCATTGACTGGTAAAGAATCACACCCAAACTGGAGAGGGCTGTGCTTCACTAGGGTGTCATGGCCTTTCAGATGGCGAGAGCTCCGAGTAGGACTTTGTGTCAAGAAGAATGACGGCTATCGGCCATCTGGTCATTAGGTACTAATTAGACACTACCAAACTACTACGCTTTTCTTTCTAGGCACACAAGCAAATCACATTTCCACCTTCCTTCAACTGATTTCCTAAGAGCGGTAGTGCTGACTGACAGAATGCAAGCAAAGTGACATGCGATGTCTTTACTGGCTGGGTAACATGACAGCCTCACAGCTACAGGTCGTGACTGAGACACAGGGCACTAAATGCCTACGTAGAGCAGAGCCCACCCAACCTCACTGACTCATGAGTGAGTGAGAAATAACTGTCTGAAGGTACACTACGAGGACTTCAAGGACTATGTGCTATAGCAGTTAAGTTACTTACCTTACAGCTCACTAAAGGCTTTAAATATTCTAATGGTGCATTACTGACATTTCTGAAATTATTGTCCCTTTGGGGTTTTTTTTGCTATGCTTATTTATTTTTCTTGTGTTATATGTATTTGACATAAAACTTACCATTTTAGCCACTGTAAGTGTGCGTTTCAGTGGTAAAATCTGTTTATAATGATGAACAAACTTTACCATATCTATCCCCATACTCTGTTGAATTTGTGCAGATGAAACTCTAGAAGGATCAAAGACCACCCCGTCCCCACCACTGCCATTCTCCTGCTGCAGCGCCTGCCTTTCTTCTTCTTGTCCTATGATTTTTCTATTTCATGGACTTCAAACATGCAGGAGCATTTGGTGTTTGTCTTTTCATGGCTGACTTACTTCCCTCAGCACGACAGCTGTCTGCTGGCTAGATTTATGTCAACTTGACACGAGCTAACGTCATCTGAGGAGGGAGCCTCAACTGAGAAAACGCCTCCCTAAGATGGGGCTGCAGGTAAGTCTACAGGGCATCTTCTTAATGAATGATTCACGGGGGAGGGCCCAGCCCACTGTGGGTGGGGCCATGTCTGGGCTGGGGGTTCTATAAGAAAGCAGGCTGAGCAAGCCATGTAAGCAGCATCCCTCCATGGTCTCTGCATTGGCTTCTGCCTCTAGGTTCCTGACCTCAAAGTTCCATTAAAATAGTTACCAGAAAACAATTGGTGGTGTTGAGGACGGAGGGACTAGAATCCTTTGTGCACTACTGGTGGGAATGTCAGAAAGTACGGCTCCTGTTAAAAATAGTTTTGGTAAAAAACAGATTTCTGTGTGAGCCAGCAATTCCCTTTATGGGCATATACCTTGAATAACTGAAAACAGGTCTACTCTACAAGGGCTGTCTGTTCTCAGCTTTTAAACAAATGTAAAGATGTATGTTTTAGAATTCATAGGGCTAAAATAGTTTTACATATAAGAAAATCCGTCAGCAACATTTACATGCCCTCAAACATGGATGGGAGTACAGGCTCCCCGTTCCAAATGCCGACTAGCATTGGAGAGAGCAGTGTGAGGACCAGACCTAGCATTCGAGTGGGGGATTTTAGTGTGGGCTTCACCGTGTCATCTTCCCTTCGACTACAGTAAGTGTGGGACAAGGCCAAGAACCCACGAGCAGATTCACCCAATGAGAACACGGTAAAGGTAGGGGCTCAAAAATGTATCTGAAAACACAAATGAGATGGGGGCAGGATGATTTCATGAAAATAGTTCATGGGATCACAGACCGAACCATGCAAGTGGCTAAGCACACGGGCTAACTGGGTTCTCTGATTACAGACATCTGACCTTGGACAATTATTTTAACCTTAAACCTCGGTTTCTTGTCTGTGAACTAAGGGAAACAGTGGGCTACATTCAGAGCTGCTGGAGGGCTGAATTAACGCACATAAAGAATGTGCCATTCTTGTCCACTACTGTCATGTAAAGTACGTCAGGTGCCAGCATCAGCATCATCTGGCTCTAGTTAGATCCAGTTAATTCAGAGTCATCTTTGAGGGAGGAGTCTGAAGATGCCTGTCCTACATGTTATAAGGACGTGAGGGAGAGGATAGGATAGTATAAATGCTACATGAATGCAAAGTTGTCTGCAACAGGTTACTGTGATTGTCATCCTGTGCTGATGAACAATGGAACCCTGCGCACACTGCCACTAAACACTGGAGCTGGAAGATTTCCACAAAGCCAATTTCTCTCATGACCTCAGAGCTAGCCCTGTGAGATGACGGCCAGCTGGTGACTACGTCAGAACTAACTGATTCATAAAATAGAAAACCTATGATTCATATAAAAATACAATTAATTTTCCTGATGGTGAATCAATTATCCACGTGCCATTGAAAGATGAGGAAATCATATTTTCAGTGAAAACATTAGATCTGATTAATGGCACCAACTTTCTCTGCAGCTCTTTTTCTTGCAGTACTGGGAGAATTTTGATGGATGGAAGACAGACATAAAGTGGCTCACAGGCAGACACGTGCAAGCCCATATTTTTGATTAACCGTCTACCACAGAACAGCTGGTTGAAGGTCTCCGTGACAACACAAGAAGGGAAACAGTGAACACCACTCAGCTGAGCAACCATCCTGCACAGGGCACTGGCAAACCTCATACCTGATGGGTGGCAAGTCAAAGCCACTGACCCCATAGGAGTCTATCCTGATGGGTTTCATCAGCTCCTCTACTGTGGGCAGATCTAAAAGGGGAGAAAAGTTAAATTAAAAACCAAAACATTGCCTAAATTACACATGGAGTGCCACAAAAATCAAAATTTGGCCGGGCGGTGGTGGCACACACCTTTAATCCCAGCACTCAGGAGGCAGAGACAGGCGGATCTCTGTGAGTTCGAGGCCAGCCTGGGCTACCAAGTGAGTTCCAGGAAAGGCGCAAAGCTACACAGAGAAACCCTGTCTCGAAAAACCAAAAAAAAAAAAAAATCAAAATTTTCTCTACTTCATTTAGTTAACAAAATAGCATGCACAATAAATGAAGTTTGCATCACAAAACTGCACCAGGAAGCCTTTCTTTGAACTTATAAAATACATCTCCATTATCTATATCCAGACCTCACATACATACTTGCTATGGAATTTTTTTTAAATCTCAAAATACTATTTTCTGTTAAAAAGCATTAATACACATATATATGTATGCCAAGTTTGTTGCTTAATTTGGTTAAGGCACATTCACTAGAAGGTGAGCTACATTCTGTGTTTAGTTCTAACTTTGGAGTTAATCCAGGTGAGGTTCCATTTGATCATGCCCTTTATATCCAATACTGAGTAGCCATCACCGCAGCAAACCGTATGTAAAATATGCTTCAATGGACACTGTTTAAAGAGGGCAAACAGTAGAGGCATTCTGTCCATTCATAATCCACCCAGCATCTTTCTGCTAAAGCTGTCAGCCTTTACCAGATTCTGTGGTAGAAATGTTCTTTGAGGACTCTTCATTTTCTTGAAGATGATCTTTTCCTGAGTTCTTGACGTTTCCCATAGTGCTAGCCTCAATTCTTGGTTCGTCTGTATCCCCCAGAGAATGAGCTACGTGACAGTAAGCCTGGTGCAGGGCTTCAGTGTCCCCACTGCTCTGGCCATAAGAAACGCCTGTTGAGATAAATGCGATTCCTAGGTATCACAAGGTGATGTGCACAGGAGAGATGAAGCACCCAAGTCATTCCTTAGTCTCTCAGGAATGGTGAACAGCGCTGCGGGACAATGGCAATATTAGAAAAGCAGAGTCGAGCAGAAACCTGGGTAGGCTATCATTATGAAGTCACAGCAAGTGAAGACGGTCCTGGTGATATAATTGTCCCGGCCTTCTCATTGTCCTTAACCAGCCTCCTTGTGCCGGATACAGCTGTTCTCACACTTCCTAAGTGGACACGCTCCTCTGAAGGGTCCTCTCCTTGCCTCACCACTCCCATTCTCATGCTGCTGTGTGGTAATCTCAGCCTGGGATGGTTCTAATACCAGCATGCTCCTCCAACTCTGCAAACCCCCGAGTGTTCCATCATCTTGTCGAAGCTGCTCCGACTCAGAGCTGTTTCCTGATGGCCAAGCCCGTCAGGTGTCCTTTCTGAGCATCTGACATTATCCTTTACCTGGTCGTTTCTTTTACACCTTTCCTTCTATCTGTCATTCCTACCACTCCAGTCAGTGCTTCTCCATTCTTATTATCAATGGCCCAAGAGTGGTCTATCTCTAGTCCTCTTTTAAAGCCCTCTGAGGACTTTTTAAAAAATCCAATTCATTCTTCCCTTTCTCCTCCCCTCCATCTTCCCTTTGTTTTAAAACTCTATTGTTATTATTATTAGATGTATATGGTATGCGCATACAAATACAAATTACACAGTGGAGGTTAAAGGACAGCACTGGAATTGATTCTCTCTGTCTGCCTATGTTGGTTCTAGAGATTGGCTCACCAGGTTTGCATGGCAAGTACCTTTGCCCACTGAGCCAGCACTCTAGACTCCCCCCCCCCTTTTTTTTTTTTTTTTGGAGAAAGGGTCTCATGTAGCCCAGGCTGGCCTCGAGCTTGCTATATGGCTGAAGATGACTTTGAACTTCTGATCAAGGGTTGGAATTAAAGGCATGCACCATCATGCTTGTCTTAGAAAGCACTGTCGGCTGAACCCAGGGCCTTGTGAATACCTAGCAAGCATTCTTACAAACCAAGCTGTATCTGTAGCCCCCAGCTAGTTTTAGCTAGCCCTTCACCTTCATGTATGCCTGCTTCAGTAGTCCCAAATCTACATCGGTCATCCCTTTTCTGAACACCAAACTCTCTAAAAGAGACAATACACTTCCAACTAAACTCATTATATTCCTCACTGAAACTTGCTTTGCTCCCAGAATTTTCTATTTTTAGCTAACAACAACATCATTTACTCAGTCACCCAAACCAGAAGCCTTGATGTCACCTCTTACTCTTTCTGCCCTCGGACCCTCCCTCTCAATAGCTGACAAATGTTGGGAAAAACTAATGGGAATAATGACCTAATACTTTCATGAATATTTTCTTAATATTTGATAATTTTAACAGTGGACTTTTCAAAATTAAAGAATAAGCCATAGAATGGGAAAAAATATAAATAGAACAACCAGTCTCCTCTTTTGACATTTATGATTAATGCTTAAATAATAAAATAAATTATACAGTTTATAGAACCTCATGTTCTATATACACAATAGAAACTGTACAGAACACAGCTCATAAGGGATTTTTTTTTCCACATTAAATGTTGTTGTGGGCTATTTTCATTGCACTCCCCAAGACTGACAATAGAGTTTACCTTGAATCAAAGGGCAGAGCTAGTTACTAGCTGATCAAAATCAGCCATAGAGGTTTTGGAGGACCCAGGACATATAGAGAGACACAGGAAGTAGTAGGGAGGGGCTCATAAAGATTCTCTGGCTATTGGATTAAGGAAGGAGAGAGAGAGGGGTCACTGGTTGCTTCGACACTGCTTCTTTGATCAATCAGGTTTGCACCCTAATATCTGACTCCCGGGTTTTTATTGACAAACGAATAATTAGATAAGGGCTTCAAAATGTAGGAGGAGATGAGTGTCACGGAGGCATGTGTAGTATTGCCCTACAGTGAGGCTTTTAATGCTCCAGGTCACAGTCACCAAGACTGTTTGGAACACATACACAAAATAACAAACATCTTAAACAGAAAAAAGCCTAAAAGTAGAGGGTACTATTACAGCAGAATTTCCGACAGTTAAAGAGCAAGGTATTTTGAAGATGATCTGAGGGAAAGGTCTGTTCTGCTGTCTTTTATGTAGAAGTGAACCTACTCGCCCACTAGTCACACCCACAGGGGGACAATTGAGGAAGTAATTTTTATGAAAAATGAAAAAGTATAATGTGCTTTCTTTTTTCTATAATAATAGGAGGTCACTGAATGATCTGCTGAATACATTACAGAATGACCTGAACGCTGAGGGGGTGGCAGAGCAGCACTGAACACACACTCTGTAGAATCCGTTCTCTCCTTCAGACTTTACATGGATTCTGAGGATTAAACTTAGCTTTTCAGGCTTGCACAACAGGCCATTTTACCTCTGAGCCATCTCACTGAGCCATGATCTTAACAATGTACTATGCTGCATCCTCAGCAGCTGACCATTACAAGGCTTCATTTTAAAGAGGAGGAAATAGGATAAAGTCATTAGTTGTCCAAGGTCCCAGCTCATAAGCAGCAAAGCTGGGAATATGAACACAAATCTGTATAACAAAATCACACTGCGCTCCCAGTGACAGCCTAAAAGAATCATTACAGATTCAAAACCATTGAAACAGGAACAACAAATGTATTACTACTTTGAGTAATATACTTTTGGTTTCTGAGTCTTTCTTTATAGCCCATAGCAGTGGTTTTCCTATTGTTTTATAACATCAGTGTTTCAGGGAAAAAAATCATAAATCCCCAGATGTTTGGCTGAAATCCTGCTTTGAAAATTAAAATTGTAACAAAAGCCAATTTAAACAATCAAGTGTGCTACCTCCATAATTCTGTAGTCCTCAGCAGAAATCACATAATAACTCTTGCCTTCTTTACTTGTTTCCTGCACATTTTAACACTCCTGATCATTTCCCACACACAAACCTAGAATATACTGGGAGTAGGACAGCTATAGTTCTATCCTCATCTTTTAAAAGAGCTCATGATGGCTTACCAAAAACTGTGAGAAGACAGACAGACTGTGCTAGCATGGAGGCAACATGCTTGCATAAGGCAACAGTAGTAAAACCAAGAGACGTGCTCTGCAAACATGTCGTCAGGGTAGATTTTGGGTGTCAAAACTATGTCCTGATGAAATGTCTAACTTTTCATTTTAAGTACTTTTTGTTTTTCTCTATTTGTTTGAGACCTGGTCTTTTTTAAATTAAAAAACATTATTTATGTGTATTATGTGTACATACCATGGTGCATGTGAGGTCTGAGGACAATCTGCTGGTGCCCCACCCCCCAACCCCCCCTTTCTATCAATGTGGGCTCCAGGGGATTGAACTCAGGTAGTCAGGTAGTCAGACTTGACAACGAATACCTTTACTGGCTGAGCCACACTGCCACCTCCAAGATTGGGTCTTATTATATAGCCCAGGTTGACCTTTAATTCGCCATTCTCCTGTCTCAGCCTACTGAATGCTGGGATTACATGAGCTTTTCTACAACAAGAAAGTAATTAGTATAAATAAATACAAGATACTTAGAGTAGGTCTGTGATCTCTACTGTTTTTATCGAAGTGTCTCAGTTTACTTGACCAACCCCCAAAGCAAGACAGTTAAAAAGTTCCCATTTGCAACTACCCATGTGAGAAATCAAGAATATATTATATTCTACATTAAAACAAAATATGCTGCCTGGCACAATCCTAATTTCATGGAAGAGCCAATTGGCAATAATGATTCTAGTGCTGAAAGGGCATTATCACAAAATTGTTACAAGCTTTAAGGAAAATAGTTCCGAATTTAAGGGCACGACCCAGTCTTCTCCTAAGGAGGGAACTATGTAAAGCACAGCTGAGACATATGTTCATTTCTCCTGCACATGGTGAGCTGAACAGAAAACCACGGAAGGACACAACAACCAATTCATCCTCACCTAGAGCACTCCTTTTGTATTGACAGCATATTCAATCTATGAGATTGAATGCCTTTAATGTCCAGATGGTTATTTCATGGATTTTTCAAGAAATGAAGACAGTTAGTCACAGAGCATTCCATAGTCAGAGAAGAATCAAACTTTCACATCCGTTACCTGTTCCCGTCAGCTCCCCACCAGTCATTTCTGGGAGGGCCTTTGCTTTCAGGCCTGCTTTCTTTTGATCAGGAAGGTGAACATCCTCAACGGAGTCTAAAGAATCGAGCAGCTCAACTGCAGGAACATAAAAAAAGCATAGGGCGTGTGGGAGACTTTGTGTGACTTTTGGTCCAGTACAATCAGGCACATGCAATGCTCAAAAGTGAATGTTTACATATAAATGTTGTTAGTGTAGACTCATGTGTTTCCACATGCATGACTTGAATAGTATGTACCAGATAATAGGCTAACATCAAAACAAACACAAGTGATTCTTTATATCTATACATTTATTTAGAAGGTAAAAGGCCCGAGAAAAACAGAAAAGGAAATATTTCAAACATAACAGGATGGGGTCAAGATAGGCATAAAGGACAAATGACCGAGAAAGTTACGAATTTTAATTCCTTAGAGAGATATTCAAAATAAAGAATTTCATTCAAAATTATATAGATGAGGTTTTTAAACAGCCTAATTACTTGCCAATTAATATTTACCATTAGCCAGCATGCCGGTTTTCTCTTCCTCCTAAGTCAAAAGAAGAAAATTACATATTGTGGAAGCAAAATTATATGAATGACCCCAGAAATGCCCACAGTTCTTTGAAGCAGGAGCTACAAGAAGATCAGGAACCATGTTTTCTAGGTTCCTTCACCAACACTTGTCTGGGCCACAGCTGTGTAGGAATGTCTACCTGTCTCTTCTAAACCTGGGCAAATACCAAAACTATTTTAGGCCTTAAGAAGCTTTGCCTAAAGTAGTTAGAGGTCACCAGCTCATCTACTGTGCTCAAAAATTCTGTCTTTTTTTTTTTTTTTTTTTAAAATATCAAAGTAACAGGGCTATGTTACACAGGAGCCTACAATTATAACATTATCAATCAATTAACTGTTCAAAAATTAATTACCAAACATGCATCCAATTCCCCATTTCCTCTACAGTTTGAAGGACATCACTTTAGACAGGCTGCTACCAAATGGCAGGAGAGAAGCAGTTCTTCAGTACTAAGGTTTTTAAGTAGCATTGCCCTGGATTCCCTTCTTGGCTAGGCAGAGTGTAGGGTCTCCTACAGTAACAACTTTACTTTCTTATTATTTTGATTCTTACTCAGCTCTCTGGGAGGGCTCCACATTATTATGCAGAGTACATCTTCTTGATAAATGGTAATATCATGCCCCTTATTGATTACTTTTCATAAAATGTTGGGATTGCCAAATTTCAAACATAAATACCATCTATTTCTAAAGATGCCATGAGGTCACATTAATTTTGCTGTTAATTTAAAAATCATCTTGCTTCTTGCAGACTGAGTGATATTGAGGAAATGTATTACATAAATTAAAAAACCAAAGCCATTTATGTATAACCTCCAAGTGTTTCTATTTAGAGAATCTACTGTTTTACATAAGCTTAAAACATCTTGTCCTAACAGTCCCCCCAAAAACTGTCCAGATCAAACCAAAATAATAAATAACAATGATTCCATTAATGACTATTATATAGCTTAAGTGATAAATTATAGTACATAGGTAATATTTAATGGTAGCCCTAAACACACCTTGGTAAGAACTGAGGGATGACAGACCTAGGGAACAGCAGACTGGCTGTGAGCAGAGCAGTGTGGCCCCTCATCTTAAGCACAGGAGTTCCAGACACTAACACTGCCACTCTTGCCAATCCTGAGAAGGCCTATTTACAGCTTACACAAGGTCAAGTCATACAACAATGCCAGTTCACAGACCAACTGAAAAGCAGTATCAACATTTAATTGTGTTCAATTGCTAAAATGTACCTTAGGTTTTAATACAGCAAAGGTCATCCTATCTAAAAGCATCAACTATTATGATTGTTTAAGTTATACTGACACCCTGAGACTTGAAGTTAACAATGAGCAAGGCCATGAAGAACTCTGTACCTCAAGTGGTCATGTGGCGAGATAAAAGCAGTTACAGAACTGTTGAAGGACAACTGAGAAATACCTGTGTGGGGACATTCGCTTTTCCTGACTCTGAGTTTTCTTTGGGATGGGTCTCTTCATCTTTAGTAATCAAAGGTGCATCAACATCCTCAGCATCTTCAAAATCATCACTGTATGTTTCTGAAGGAAATTATTAGAAACAGAAGGATCATACTGTCAAAGTAAGTTTCAAGGAAGGACTACTGGCTTATTAAGAAGGTATCTCCAAATATAATCCACTGAGGTATTAGCAATAAGGTACTTCCCAGGATCTTTTTTTCTTTTCTTTCTTTCTTCTTCTTCTTCTTTTTTAAATGAATGAGTTCAATTTAAAATGAAGGCTATTTTAGGTTATTTTATTTTCTGTACTTTGACATGTCCCTTACATAAATCCTGGCCCTGTATGACTTCCTCTGTTTTTCATTCCTGGACAATTCTTGGTGTAAAGCTCCTGACTATATCTTAGTGTCTTTGTAGTGTGAGAAAAAGGCATCTCCAAGTTAACTGATCTCATCAGTCTATTCATGGGGCAGATAGGGCAGGAGTTCAATGGCCAACATCTCTTTCATCAATTTTTAAGTTGATGATGATGATGATGATTTTGGTTGAGACAGGGTTTCACTGTGTAGCTTTGGAGACTGCTCTGGAACTCACTCTGTAGACCAGGCTGGCCTTGAACTCACAGAGATTTGCCTGCCTCTGCCTCCTGAGTGATGGGATTAAAGGTGTGTGCCACCACGCCTGGCTGTTTATTATTTTTAAATCAAGAAACTGATTGAGATCAGTGGGCTAAAGGAAAGGAATCCTTTTTCAGAATGCAAAGAGTTACAGTGTGGGTGTATAGAGATAGTATGTGAAAGTCGTGCTTGAGAGTGGGACCTGGAGCCGGAAGGCCTAGACTCAGTTCTTTATCCCACCACTTTCAGTTTCAGAATGATGGTCCATCACAAAATCCCTGGCCTTAATTTTCTCACCCATAGAGACGACAACAGCAATGATCTCAAGGGACACTGAGATCCGAGAGCTAAGCAGTATTTAAGGAGTATTTCATACATAACATGCACAATCTAAGGGCCAAATATGATGTGCAGTAGTACTGATTGGCAGTATTATAGCTAGTTTTGCTTAGTCTACATTAAAGCTAATGAAGCCATACATCACTTTTTTTCTTTTTTCTCTTTGCAGTGTGGAAATGAACTTGGACATGCCAAGCAAGTACCCAGCCTCTCCTTCTAAATGGGAAAATTGCTAATGTACATTATCCCAACTACACTTTAATGTCTTCACTTAGTAGCTGAACAAATTATAGGAAAATATTACCATCTAACATATGACTGACCAGCCTCCTTCATGGGTATCTGTCATGAACAGAGTTAGTGTGAAATAAGAAGGAAATGTCACTAGAAGGAAAACACGTCAGAGATTTCAGAAACATCCAAGTGAATTAAACTGACATAAAGCCCAAGGAACAACCCAGACAGGTGGTCATTCTCTGAGAACCATCTGGGTCAGTCCCCAGCCTCACCAACCATAGCAACACTGAGAGCCATATACACCACAGTATATTATACATTCAAAATATTCCCTATGCTTCACTTCAAAATTATAATTTTCCAAACAAGACTATGTTCTTAAAATTCAGATGACGTAAACCAGAGACAATTACAGTCTAAATACTCCTATTTGGAGATATTTCTATCCTTTATTGGCAAATGTACCTGTAAACTATGCGCATGGTGCAATCTCTGTCTGCTAGAATAGAAGGAACTGGATTTAAAATCCATCGTGAACAATGAGACAAAACTGGCAGTGGCCATGTCAGAGAAGCTGCAGTCGGCAACAGGGTTGATGGAGTGCAGCTTAGCACAGCTATGATGGACACACTCCCGAGAAGCAAAGCCTGTGTGTGTGTGTGTGTGTGTGTGTGTGTGTGTCTCCTGCTCGCTGCTGTCTTGTGTGTACTGTATCTGGCCTGGTGTGATTACTGTGTGAGAGAATCCGACTGTATCTAGTATAGTTGTGACTGTTTCATAGGAAAAAACCCACTCTGCACTGGGCAATTTACCTGCAAATCCTAATGGGGATGGTTTTTATAGAGCAATAATGCACAGAGATGTGAGACTTGTTGAGGATGGAAATAAAAACAAGGAAGTTTCATGTAGTATAGACCCATGTGGAAAACCGGGCTGAGGATCAAAGAAGGCAATTATGGCCCTGGACCCTGGGTTAGGGCTGAGTTCCTTGGTCATGTAGCTTACAGAATTAATCACAGGTGTCGGTATACACCTTGAAAAAACAAAATTGTGAAAGGAAATTAAATGACTCTATTGTGTATAGAGAAAAAAAAAAGATGGTTAGCTAGAACACTTGAGTCAAGTTTTGTAGAGCAGAAATAGGAGAGGAATCTGCTACCCTGAAACCGCAGACAGCTGCCTGCCCATACAAAGGAACTGGCTGAAATACACTCGGCCTGCTTAAAACTTTGTTAACCGACAATAAAAGAATCATTGTTTGGGGGTGAAGACGTTATAGTGGGAAAATTAATACAAAGAAAAATGTTTAACCACATGTGGCTTCTAAGAAAAACATGTAACTTGTGATCATAATGTGATCTCTTCCTATGTAAAGATTTTAATTTGTTTTTGGAAAATATGTAACTTGTGTTTGTGAGGTGATTTCCTTCTTGAGTAGGGATTTTTGTTTTAGATACTATAAAAGAGTTAAGAGAAAAACAAAGACGAGAGAAGAATTAACTTCGGCCTCTTCAGATGTGGCTGGACTCTGGCACAAAATATAGGAAGTACTTGTTTTTAGAGACTGAATAATTCTGAAGAAATATAAACCAATGATACATGAGCTCCAGAATCACTGAAGGTGAATGCATTTTTGGAGTATGGGGGAAGATGGGGGAGTCTCAATGAGCTGAGGAAATAAGAGTTCTGAGAGGCCAAGACACGCAGAAGTCGTGGGGCCGTGATGAGGCATGGGCGTACACAGGCAGAAGGAGTTCCAGAAGAAATCTGCATGGGTCCCTGGGGATGAGGGTCCTTCTGGGTCATCACTAAATTAAACCCTTCAAGTGAAGGTTGTGTCACGCGCTGGGAAAGTAGAGCTTGGACAGTTCCTTCAGGTGACACATGGCAGGGACTGTGTGAGGGGAAGGCCCTCACTGATCACTGTGAACCATTGGAAGAAACCTCAGGAGGGAATGCCACAGTTGCGCAGACAAATGATACCCCCAGGGGCTGCTCCAGACCACCCCTACGTGAAACACGAAAGGCTGCACACGGACTGTCTACCAGAACAGGATGGACATTTTTAAAGAAGACAAGGAAATCCAGATATTGTAGAATCCATAACCACCAACAAAAGCAAGCGAAGAATAGGATTCCACATCCAGAGCAAGCAGTCCAGAGACCTAGACTAGAACAAATCCTGTAATCTGTAGGAGGATTAATATTGTAGCGATCTGATAAAAATCAACATGACAAGGAGAATGAAGAAACTTAAATCCAAAGGAGCTCTTAGGGAAAAAGAAAGAAATGGATGCATGTCAAGTGACTGAAGAAAGGATCAGTGAATGTTAGGGCTTAGCAGCAAGAGCCAGAGGCCTGGGTGGAAAGTCGTTAAAAGGCTCTCGGTGGCCTGAGGGATGGAGCTCACTGCTCTCGCACCTGTGACGAGGAGCACAGGGAAGGGGCAACAGGGACGGCCACAGCACCATATGGTGACAACCACCACCAATGACAGAGCGAAGATGCTGAACCATTTCCAGCAGGATGCAAACGAGAAAGGCAGCCTAGACAGCCGCGACGTGAACGTTAAAATATACAAGCAAAGGGAAAGCCTTGGAAACAAAAGCAAGCAGGCTGCACAGCGTGCCCATGGTAACCACAGGTTCTACATCCACGGGTTCAACCAACGGTGGAGTAAAAATATCTGGAAACAAACCTTGTCTGCACTAGACATGTACCTTTCCCTCTCTGTCATCATTCTGTAAACAATGCAGAGCCACACTTGTTTACGCTGCACTTACAGGTGTAAAGTAAGTAAACCAGAAATGACAAGGCACACAGGGATGTGCATGGGTCATATGTAAATACAAGCCAATTGTAAAGGAACCTGGCATCTAGTGCCTGCAGGGGACTAAAGCCAATAGCTCCAGATACCTAGGGATGGCTGTACAGGCAGAGTAACTATAAAAAGTTATGAGAGACTTCATGAGAAATGTGGTCAGAAAAAAATTGAAAATAAAATCCAACTCTATCAAAAAAACAAAAACAAAAACAAAAACCAAACCCTACATCAAGAAAGTAGTGTCCTGTTATTTCTGTCTTCCAACAGGGTCTCACTACAAAGTCCAAGCTGGTCTTAAATTCTCAATCCTCCTGCCTCAGCTTCCCAAGCCTTGATATGATCCATCATAACTCATATAAAATACTTTTTTTTTTTTTGGTTTTTCGAGACAGGGTTTCTCTGTGTAGCTTTGGAGTCTGTCCTGGAACTCACTCTGTAGCCCAGGCTGAAAATACTCTTTAATAATGAAGGTAAAGCATATTTTCAAACAAGAAAAGCTAAGAGACTTTGTAACAACATTTAAACTAGATGGTTTAAAGGAGGTTCTTCACGCTGAAGAAAACAGTATGTGTAGAAACTGCAATCCACACACAGGAGTAGAGTACAGGACCCCACAGTGAGCAGTGGACCAACACAAACCTTTACAAGGATGTACTTGACATTCCTTAAAAGATTTTCAACAACAGTAACAACATATGCTGGTATTTTAAGAGAAGTAGAACCAAAAAATACCTAAAAATGGGCACCTGGGGCGGGGGATTTGATGTTATTAAAATGCATATAAAATAGAAAGTTATTTGAATACCCTCAAATAAGATTAAAAATGTGTATTGTTTGTAGCACTTAAGACAAAAATACAACAAAAAGGGTTAATAAAAAGCCAAAAGAGGGAGTAGTGAATTCTGTAAGTAAACCAGGAGAATGCAGAACAAAACCAATAAAAACATTAAACACCACTTATAAAGGGTAGACACTCATCAATTACACACCAAAGGCAGCCATCCATGTTAGTCAGAGAAGCAAAGCGCAGCCCAGCCAAGCAAACCACTTTAAATGTAAAAGCAGACAAACCCACACACACCTACCTTTATTACTAGCACTTGGGAGGCAAAGATAAGAGGATCTCCGAGATCAAGGATAGCCTGGTCTATGCAGTGAGTTTAAGGCTAGCCTGCTTTACAGAGTAACTTCAGGGCTATCCAGCAATGTAAAGCAAGACTTTATCTTTAAAAAAAAAGCCCAAAGGAGGGAAAAGTACCACATTCTGGCACCACACACTGGAGGTCTTGGTTCTGCCTTTGGATCCCCACTGTCTTCACAACAAACTTTATATGAGACAGTGGTTCCCTCTTACTAATTTCTTAGTTATTGAGACAATAGCACAGGCACTCTGCACACTGCTGCTCACAGCACTTTCAGAGACAGTGTGGTCTACCTTTTCAGTACCGTTCTTACCAATGTCTGTACTATATATACACTATATTATCTTTTCAGTGAAGTTACCTGGCAGTCCCTCATGTTCTGATTCATTCTCATGTCCATCTTCAGCTGGTTCTGTGTTAGTGTGATAACTGGAAAAACATTTAACATGCAATATCATGGGTTAATATATATCCATACAATATATTTTGCATTATTTGTTTCAAATTTTCTAAAGTACCATTGTTCTACCGAAGTTTTATCAAAGCTAAAAACTAGGGTGATAGAAGGAAAATTTTTTGAAAACAAAAGATTCTTAAAGCCTAAAACTAATTTGTAGCTGCATAAGTAATCAAAAGAAAATGCCATTTTTTAGATACAAACACACACAATTTTACACGTGTGTGCATTAATATGAACACACATCATCCCATGAACCAGACAGACACCTCTTCTTCACTAGAGATTAGGAATTACGAGCTATGAGAATTAAGCAAAGTTTAGAAGAAGGCCAAAACAACAACAAAACTCCACAAAATAGGATTAGCATTTGTATGCCAATAAGCAATTGAACTCTTAATGGAAGCTGAATAGGGGGCCTGCAGTGGTTTGGATGATAATGACCCCACAGGTTCACATATGTGAGCACTTGTTCTTCAGTTAGTGGATGAGAAACGGTGTGGCCTTGTTGGAAGAGATGTGTCAGTAGGGTGGTCTTTCAGGTCCCCAAACCCATCGTTCCCAGTTAGCTCTCCTGCCTGGTGCTTGTGGATCTAGGGGTGAGCTTTGGGGGTGTCCCTGCTGCTGGCCGCTACGCCTTTGCTCCACCATCACGGGCTCTAGCCCTCTGAAATCGTTCAGCCCATGTAAACTCTTCCTTTTATAAGCTGCCTCGGTCACGGTTTTCCATCATAGCATTAGAAAGTAACCAGGACAGAGCCTTAAACCAGGTACTGGTACAGTTGTGAGAAATAAAGTCCACTGCTTCTGACTGAAGACTTGTTAACTGCCACTATCTACAATGCTGGAAGCTTGTCAGAGCTCATGCTGGTCCAGGTGCCACTTCATCTGCTGAGATTTGGCTCTGGCCATCCACATGCCATGGTTATCCAACCATGTGCATGTTCACATGCCATGATCCTCCAACTCTTTCAATTCTACTTCTGTGCTCTTAAGAACCTAGAGAAGACCACAACCTGATTTTCATTCATGAGAGGAAAAACAGCTACATGGATAGCTAAACTAAGGAAATTCAAGGCCTTACAAAGACAAAGAGTGGCAATGGTTTACTGTGCTCTAAAGAGAGTGGCCAGCTCAGTCAACTAGCATCTCTAGATAACGGAGGTTTCTGATAATCAACACTCACTATGCACAGAGGTAAGACACAAACCAAACTTGTCTTGGCTTCTTCTTCTTTTTTTTTTTTAAATCCAAGTTTAAAATAATATGGACTTTCATTTTCCTTTGTCCATAGAAAGCCAGTATTTTTCCCAGCAAGGACCTGGCAGTGTACTATTAGTTTCCATAGTATCTTAGGTATGAAATGTCATGTATTTAAAGGAAGAATGGAGATTCAACTACACATCCACATACTCTGTCCATACATTAGAAAAACTTGACTATAATCAACATAGAACACAGTTCAAAAGATAAAGCAAGATGACCTGAGGTCATGTCCCAGGAAACTACATAAAAAGCCACACACAGTGCGTGTGCCTGTAATCCCAACAATGGGGAGCTGGAGACAGGCGATCCCTGAAGTTTGCTGGCCAGCCATTCTAGCTGAACGGGCCATCTCCAGGTTCACTAAAGACATGGTTTCAGAAACCGTGGAGAGTAATTAAGGAAGATACCTGGCACCAAACCCTGGCCTCCACACATTAAAAAACAGGATGGGATCTGTCTGTTATATATTTATCTACTAGAATTCATGCACATATAGAAATACAGAAAAGCACAAACATTAGTTAACGTTTTTATTGTATTTACCTATGTAAAGCTCTGAACTGTGTGGAGTCATCAGAATCCAGTTCTTGATTTAATTTGGAATAATCAATAGAAGATGTCAAGCCTTTTTCAAGTCTGGCAAAGAACTGCTCCTTCTCTTCTTCTTCTTCTAATGTGTCCAAGCCCAGCCCCAGGGTACTATGATGGAGCTCAGAAACGACTAACTCTACATAGAAATGAATGACAAACATACCTTGTTAACATGGACGACTTTGATAAAATTAAGCGATGCTTCTGCTGATGTTGTACAGGAACCCTCTCCCCCGCCCCCATCAAGGAGATCTACAAAAGACTGTAGGGTAGACTTTGTCTCTAAGCTGTGATTCTGATTCTCTGGGGGGATCATATAATCTGTCCGTACCATCTGTGATGGAAGCTTCAGGATGGCTGAGCCCCCTGCTACAAAAGTCTCTGAAGTACCGTGACAATGACTTCCCGACTCACATCCTCCTCACCATTGGCTTCTAGGCTGTCAACGCTTAAGATGGAGGTCCCACTGCTCTTAAGAAATTGAGCTTTCTCAGCAGACTCCTCTTCTGAGTCCATAATAGGCTGAGACGTCTTCTTTGTCTTCAAATAGCTCACATTTGTCCCAAGCAGTCCTAGGAACGAGACTTGATGAGTTGGTATTCATATCTATACTCAGGTGGTTGTACTCAGGGAGCTGTTCTGATCACTATGCCAATACAAGGAAACTGTCTTATTGATTTTGTACATAATGGCTACAAATCTGTCATAGTGAATAAAAACAAAACAACTAGACCTAGAATTTACAAAAGAAAAACTCTAATTCTGTTTGATTACAGTACCCTTTGTTTTAAAAAGAACATTTTAAAAGTTTGCATAAGATTCCTTTACCCAGTTTTGCTGCTTGAAACAGACTGTGGAGGTTATGAACCAACATACCAAACTCAAGACGGGGAGAGTAGGTTCAAGGACAGATATGAGAGCTAAATAAGTTCCTTGTAAATATCATTTCAAGAAAACGCCAGGACATCTCTGAAGTCATCATTTCACAAACACTAGGAAAGTTTCACACCAGGTTATGTGTAATATTTTTTTGGAGAGGCGAGGCTATCACAGTCTCTAATAACATTCTTGAATGTCACACTTTCTCTGAAACGAAGTTATAATGGCGATATTACATGTATTTTATGATTGATTTGTGTCATAGTTAGCCTCAGCTATCAACCTGACAAAAACACCTTGGGCTCCAGAATCAAGTTATTTTCTGGCTTGATGTGAATAATGATCTTACTAGATCACGCAGTAACTTCCACACAGCTGTACAAAGTCACGATCTCTCCACAGACCCTGCAGATGACTGAGTGCCAACCACAGCTGGGGTGCTGCTGTGGTAATGCCTCACTCTGGCTCTAAAGTTGGATCCAACAGCTGTGACCCAGACCAACAACAGAAACTCACAGATAATTTAGTTACTGAACAATAAGAAAATACTAGTTTCACTCACTAGGCAGAACACTCTAGCCTTAAGACAACTGAAAAAAAAAATCAAAATCCAACATTCTATGAGAATTTGCTCAGTTTTAATGTTTACTGGTAGCTACTCAAGACTGGTAATGAATGTATCCCTCTCCTTAGGATGGGTATACAGGTGTCTCAGAAGCTTCTCAATCTGCTGCAGGACTCCCATCTAGTGAGTGCGATAGTGCCTGGTACACGGAACGCACTTTGAACTCATTAAATGCTTGTGACTGGGAACGGGGCAGGCTACACTCTGGGTGGAGTGTAGCGCAGCTCTCCAGTACTAGTGAAGTCTGAAGGTCTGTGCTTCGCCTAGCTTTGCCTGTTTCTTTTATTAACTGCACCTACTCTGGACTGACACCTTTCTTAAAAACAACTCGTAATTTTAGTTGCTACAGGCAAGTATTTTTGTTCTAGGAGCCATTCTTTCCTTCTGGGATATTTGCATATTTCTACTCTGATTTGGTACCTTCTAGAAAAAAAGGCTTCAATGCTAATTAAGTCCCAAATCTTTGGCAACAATTTCCAAAGTACTTTTATCCTATTACATCTTTTTTGAATACTAATGGGAAAAATGATTCTAGAAAAAAAATTCTTTGTAAAGAATGTAGGCATAATTAATTGTTATGTGGTTTGAGGAATTCATGAAAAAAACCTTGAAGTTTTCACTGAGAAATTCTGTTAATGTATTGCAGTGTTAAAAGCAAGCAAACAAATAAACAACACCATCACCAACAATAACAACTAAGGAGCACTGTGAATTCTATGCTAACACAGGAAAAGAAGTGCTTCCCATCCCATCCAAAGCTGCCAAGTCCAGGAGCGCCACACAATGTGGGGGCGTCCTGTGATGTTGGGGAAAACACTTGTGCTAATGGGGAGCTGGAAGAGCTACTGCAGGACTGTGCAGAGCAGTGACAGGCCTGGACCAGGAGGTTGAGAGGAAGGCCTATGACACAGGGAAGCAGTAAGCGAGGCACAGAGGCGGGCATCCAAAGGTGTTTTTAGAAGACAGAGCAACTGAGTGTGGCGAGATCACATATCGTAGAGAGGAGGGCTACCATCAGATGATGCAGAACCTCAACTGTCATTAGAGAGAATTCAGGCTCGATCGTGTAGGGGGAAAATGGAAAGAAAAACAACAACAACAACCCCCAACACACACACACACACACACACACACACACACACACACACACACACACATACACACACACACCGACAACAATAAAAGCCATAGGTACAATCTTCCCCTAGATAGGAGAAACAGAAATACTGCTAGTCAACATAATTGCATTTAACCCTGACCCATGGGTACTGAGAACATGGGAGTAGTCATGATTCTTTACAACTGTGGCAGCAACGTAAGCAGAAGTCTATGTCGTCCAGTGTGACTTGCTTCGAGTCCTAGACAGCACTACATATGATGCACACCTATTATTTATGTAAGCAATACTTAAAGTCACACTGCATTTGCACAATGTGACTAGGGACATCCTGGGAAAAGTCTAAACACTTGTCAGAGAAAACAAAGGCACGTGTTACTGTTGAGGCAGTCAATTATTGCTTTTCATTACTTATTAGTAAACTGTGATTCCAAATTCTACTTATTTGTTTATGTGGTTACATGAATATAGTGGCAGATTATTAAACCACCTAACGTCTATTTATATCATATACAAGGTAAGTAAATATGGAAATATGCTTGACTAATCTCCTTAATTTAAATGATCTCAATGCAAATTAATATAAAAAGACATTCTCAATTACATAATGTGTAACAAAGTGGGATATTATGAAAACCAACTCAAACCTCAGTCTTCTTTACAGTTTAATAATGCAGTAACTGCAGAATTAAAAGTCTTGACTGACCTCTTGTGGTCATCTAAAACAAAGAAAAATTAGCAGGCTTTACCATCATCAAAATCATCTTCGGTTATCCACCACGGCACTGTATCTTTCTTCTTCGTTTCTTTTTTAGGTTGTCTAAGTGTTTTGTTTGAATTTTCAAAAGAATCATCTGAAAGCTGCATTAGATACAAAAGGTTAAATTTTAAAATACATTTCAAATTACAAAATCCCAGCTATAACTACATGTGTTTCCTTTAGTTCTTTCACAGTTCAATTATCACATGAACAACAGTCTAAGAAATAACGTATAAATTCCATCTCCAGACATAAGTGACCAAATTTCAAAATCGAACATACGTCTTGGACTACTGATTTCATATCTAGAATTAAACAAGTAAGGTTCCATGGTGGTTTGAATGAAAATGGCCCCCATGGGCCTATAGGGAGTGGCACTATTAGGTGTGGCCTTGTTGGAAGAAGTTTGTCAGTGGAGGTGGGCTTTGAGGTCTCAAATGCTCAAGCCAGGCCCTGTCTCTCTCTTCCTGCTCTCAGCTACCTCTCCAGCACCATGTCTGCCTGAGTGGCACATGCTTCCTGACATGATGAAAATGGACTACAACTCTGAAACTGCAAGCCAGTCCCAGTGAAATGTTTTCCTTTATAAGAGTTGCCGTGGTCTCTTCACAGCAACAGAAACCCTGACTAAATTTTTATGGGACTTCTAAGAGTGAGAAAGCGTGGGTTTCTGGTTCTTGTGCCTGCTCTTGCGGCTTTTTTTCTTCTGATGGTTTGCCATGTTCAACTCCGACATGATAGGTTTTGCTTCATCTTATTATATTTTATTTTGTCACGCTTTGTTATCCCTTAGAAGCCTGTTCTTTTCTAATGAGAGACGGGAAGGGAGTGAATCTGGATGGGAAAGGAGATGGGGAGGGACTGGGGGAAGCAAAGGGAGGGGAAAATATAGTCAAGATATATTGAATGGAAAAAGAATATGTTTTCGATGGGCAGTGGTGATGCACACCTTTAATCCCAGCACTTGGGAGGCAGAGCCAGGTGGATCTCTGTGAGTTCAAGGCCAGCCTGGTCTACAAAGCGAGTTTCAGGACAGGCTCCAAAGCTACAAAGAAACCCTGTCTCAAAAAACCAAAAAAAACAAACAAACAAAAAAATCTATTTTCAATAAAAATGAAAAAGTAAATAAAATGACCTCATTTATCAAAAAAAGAAAAAGAAAGAAACCCTAACTAAGATAGGTACAACAACAAAGAACATATGATCAACATATTTGCTTAGAAAACAAACGATAAAATCCTATATTCTGTATATTTCCTAGGGTCCAAGAACAAGTAGCAATTTAACAAACTTACTACAATGATTCTAAAACACAGAGTTCTAGAGTCTCAAGGGGTGGAGATGTAGTGACCACAGAAATAAACATTTTGTCCCCGATATCAAGCAACATGTATGTATTTGTCCCTTTCTACTCCTTGGTACAATTCTGAATCTCTTTTTCTAACTCCAACACCTCCTCCCTTCCAGACGATAAGGTAGCCTCCCTCTTCTGAGAAAAGCGAACTAGACATCACCCTTCTCCTTATCCCGCCTCTAAGCTCTCATTCTGGGAGGCCCTTCTCCCCGCTTCAGAGAGTCCATTCTTTTCCTCTGCTCTCAGGAGAACCTGCAGCAGGGTCACCTCTCCTCTGCATTTCTTTGCTCCTTAGCAACACACACACATCAACTCCCTACCTTCACCTCCTCCGCTTCCTCTCCTCCCACTTCCCTCAGATTATAACCCGCTCAGCACCGGGTCTCCAGTACCTAGCAAACAGTACCTGGCACAACTGTGGAATTAAGGGAGGAATACCGGAGTCTGCTTTACTTTAGGCTAGGGGATATAGGATGAGTTCTTCATCTCTACCTCTCTCGTACTCTACCTAGCTTTCCCTTTACATAGCAATTCTTGAATTAACTGTTCAGTCCCATAAAATGTGGCTTCATCCAAAACGTTTTCCCCCAGGGACCAGAAGACTTTTTAAATGCCTGCCAAGACAAAAATAGGACCAGTCATCCGCTGACCCCATTATGGGAACTGACGCCTCCTGGGATGCTGTACCTATGAATTGAGGAGCATCCTTCTACTAGGTTCCTCTTCAGTCCTGTGGCCTCACACAGCTAGTTAGGGGCTCCTGAGCCCACCCCTTCAACGTAAGATTTCTCCTAGACTATGTTCTTCATCCTTCTCCATCCTCATTCCACAACCCCCTCCCCACCTCCAACTCCATAGGAAGAAATCATGTTTATCGCATGGCTTCCCAGTGTCAGGATCCACACCTGGTTTACCTCACTTATCTTTAAACAATCTTGTACAGATTACTGATGAGAAACAAACCCAGAGGGAAACCACTGCCCCAGTTGCAAACTGTTAAAGAGTGATATCTAGTGGGATCCAAATTAACTAAATTGTTCAACAATTTATCAAAATGATCAAGGGAGTTAGCATGCCTCTTAAAATGATGGTTCTCTCTCTCTCTCTCTCTCTCTCTGGGTTTGTGCACACGTGCATGTGCACTTGTGTATGTATACCACACGTACCATGGAAAGAATGCTATATTCATTGGGAACTGTGGGGGTGGACTAGGTATGATGGCATTGAGCTAACTGGTACCAGCATTTGAAATGAGAAGGAACCAAGGGCTGCTGGGTATCTTCTGTAGGTGGGAGTTGAAGGAATGCACTTGCTGATGGGGTGGTGTTATGCCCAGATCTCGCGGGGACCCCCAAAAGACCACTACAGAGACTGAATTCCATAAGTAATAGCAAAGAGGCCAAGCTTCATCTCTGTCTGTCTCACACAGCGGTGAGGGTAGAGAGTCCAGGTGGGGTAAGGTTTTTATCATAGTAGAGGTTGGGGTGAGGGAATTTCCAGGGTTCAGGACCCTGACTGGCTGACATTTGTCTGTGGGTATCTCAGCAAAAAGAAGGCGTGTACTAGGCTCAGGGACATCCGGCCATCTTGTCTAACCTTATCTAACAGTTGGAATGTTTGGCATGTCAGGTACTTCCCCATCCTTGGGTGGGGTCAGCTTATGGCTTGTCCTGGATCCAGGTGTTGCCTGCCAGTAAGCCTGTCACAGCAGCTGTGTCCGGGCCCCTAAGCCTGTCACAGTAGTTGTGTGGTCAAGCTGATCCCTCCACAGTGGTTATGTTTTCAAATGAAAGCACTTAAGGATGGGTCTTATGAGACAAATTTACAACCTACCTTTAGAAAGCTTGAACTTACCTCCTTCATAAATTGTTCAAATTCTTCATCAAGTTCTTCTTTGGAATAGTGAGCCATAGTTAGTAATTTTCACTTCACACAGAAAGCATCCTAAAAGTACTTAAGGCACTGGAAACGCTAAATGACAGAAACAGAAAAACACAACACAACAAAACACCTCTTGAGGAAATCATCATTAAAACAACACTACTTAACTGTCAGAAAAATCTCATCAAGACAGGATACAATCACAATTATGACATGCTAGGGGAGTCCTAATTCTCTGAAGCAAACTGACTTGAGAAAATAAGTAGTTTGTGAAGTTTAACCTTCTACTCAAGTCTGTAATTACATTTCACCCAATTGTTAAGAGTTGGGCCCCAAGATATTTTCCACTGTATACATATTTGTCTCTGCTAATACCTCTCAGAAGCCAGGTCCTCACAGACATTAAAAAAAAAAAAAAAAGCAGGAAGTGGAGAGAGCACTTTTTTCTTGCAAAGCACAGTACAGTTTGTGCTGCTTGATTCAATCAGTTATTTTCAAATTAATGGTTTTGCAAAACAGATTTCCTACAAGCAGGGATGTCGCCAGACATAAACAAAGTGAATTTATAAGACAATACAATAAAGAATTTAGTAGTGCATACCTGAAATCCCTACAATAAGGAGGCAGAGGGCTATCTAGGCGGAGGCCAGCCTGGGCTACAGCGTGAGTTCCAGGTTAGCCTGAGCGACAGGGTGCTAAACACCTGTCTTAAAACATCCCAAACAAGTCCAAAATACCCTTGAAAGTTAATCAGATGCGCTAATCATGATGAATTGTTTCTCTTGAAGCAAAGGCAGGCTAACAGAAACAATGCCCTGAACATCTTGAGTGTGATCTAGCCTGGTTGCAGCTCAAAGCTCAACTCTTTCCCCTCTGCGAGGCCACCTTCAGATCTGTGCTAGCTTCTAGCTTTCAGATTTAACTCCCTGGGGCATCACAAACCCTGGTTGCCTTTTCTAAGGGACAGGAGCGGGAGGACTCGAGCGTATAATATCCCCTCCAACCTGCAGGACAATAAATAACTAATGTCTTTATTTGCATTTTTGACCGAGAGGTCAGGGAGTCTGGATAAGGCATTGCACAAATAGCTTGGTCACAAGCGGACCCCACGAAAGGGCCCTCAGTCTGGTGGTGTCCAGGCTGCAGAAAGCGCAGATTTTGGGGGGCTGGCCAGAAGCAAAGACGCATCCGACTTGGAGTCCGTCAGAGGAGCGGAATAGCGCGCAAATAAAAGTTTGAGGACCCGGCCTGAGATACAACCTGGAAATATCAACAGGGTCGCATGCAGCGACAGCGCCTGACCTACCTGCTACCGGGAGCCCGCGCTTTCCGGAAAGTCCCGGCAGGCCAGCTGTTGTCAGGGCAACAGACCTCCACCGGCGGGCAGGCTCCGGGAGTCACGTGAGGTCACGTGACACACGGGAGCCCTCCGACAAGCTGTCAGTTTCCCAGTGACTTTGCAAGTGGAGAATGGAACCACCAGGCTCCGCAGGATGCTGCGGCCGGTAAGGGACGTGGGTGCGGCAGCAGCTTTTCCTTTGATCCCTAAAAACCCGAGTGCAGCAAAGCCTGACTCGGGAACCCGGCGCAAGCACACAATCTGGAGGCAGCGCAGGGCTTCCTGGGAGTTGTAGTTTAATCCCCCGGTGCTTCTCCTTCCGCAAAGGGCTGCTCCTCTTTCTAGTCCTTCTCACTCCTTGCATTTGAACCCTGTTTTCTAGGTTGAAAGTTTTCAAAAACGATTTGTGAGGTTGGATTTCCTTCACGTAACAAGTCATGTGTGGGTGTTGTGAGAGAAACACAAACCTGGTAGAAATAATTCTAGTTTTTGAAGAAGAGAGGTCCGCCACCTAGTGGACAGGCATTTTAAATTCACAATACCAAGATTCCCAGTGAGACAGCCAGCCGCACTTGCACAGGGGCTCTGGTTTTTCTGGTATCCTACTTTTCAAAGCTCTCCTCTCCAGTGACTTGCTTGGGTTTTTTGCGCTCTCTTTCTCCCATTTGCTCTCCCCAACCCCCTTCTTTCGCTCTCTCAATACATATACACGCAGACACGTTCCGCGTCTCAGAGGACCATTCAGGAATCAAAGTAAAATCTTCAAACAGTAGAGGAGCTTGCTTCTGGTAGACCTAATTCTGTACCTCCTTTGTATTTCTAAAAATTTCCAAAAATTCTGAACTTTTCACTCAACAATACATATTGCCATCCAAGTATTTACAAGCCAGAAACATTCCGATAAAAATATAATAGAAACCCGTATCATATAATATTTTGTTTGTGTTCTGACAGATAAAAGCTCTGCCCTCTGATCTCCAGGCAAACTCTTTTGTCAGATCACAAACAAAATATCATACATTTCCACCTTTTTGTCTAAATATAATAAGTACAATAACCATAGGCAAGAATTATATTAACAATGTTTTAAGCTACCATTTACTGAGCACTTGCTGGAAGCTTTCTGTGCATTATTAAATTCTTACAATTTATGAGTCAATTTAATTCTGTTTATGGTTCTGTTTTTAGTACATACTGAGTGAACACAGTCCCTGCCCTGTGTATGTTGGTACTGTAAAACAGACGAGTGACCCAGACAGCTGCCAAAGGACCTCAGTGAAAAAAAAATATAGTAACACTTGGTGTAGACAAACGGGGAAGGTCTGGGGACTTTTCCATCTGTATCTAATTTCAGTCTCGCTCAACATACAACAATTTTACCATCAACTGAGCATTCAACTAGTAATGTCACTATTTGTACTAGTAGATTCTGCTTCTGCCGTATATGAAAACCATCTTCTACCACCTGTGCCTTGCTCAGATTCTGAAATTAGCCCCCTCCACCATTTTGCTGAGACTTTCCTGGAGGTTTGGATTGCTGAAACTCCCAATGTGGTAGTTTGAATGTAATTAGCCCCATAATCTCATAGGAAGTGGCACTATTAGAAGGCGTGGCTTTGTTGGAGTGGGTATGGCCTTGGAGGAAGTGGGTCACTGTGGGGGCAGACTTTGAGGTTTCTTATGCACAGGATGCTGCCCAGTGTCTCAGTCCACTTCCTGTTGCCTGTAAGATGTGTGATTCTCGGCTGCTTCTCCAGCACCGTGTTTGCCTGCACACCACCATGCTCCCTGCCATGATGATAATGGACGGAACCTCTGAAACTGTAAGCCAGCCACCCCAATGAAATGTTTTTCTTTATTAGAATCGCTGTGGCCATGGTGTCTCTTCACAGCAATACAAACCCTAACTAAGACGCTCCCCATGTCACAAGAACAACTTTAGTCCATTGCAAACCCATAGTGGTCTCGCCTACCCCATTCCTTTCTTCCTTTATCGATCCGTCCTCTGATAGCACACAACCATTATGAGAAGATGTCCTTGACTGTCTCTCAGGATCGAGTTCATCAGGCTGTAATTTCTTCATCCCTTTCTCACTAAATCTGAAAGCCATGTCTGTGTCTGCACCATCCTGACCTGCCTTATCTGTTCCAGTGACGCTCCTATCCATCTTCCGACATATGACTTGGAGCGTCACCCATGGTTCCTGACCTTAAGCCTTACTAGTTATTTTCATGTCTCACTCTAGTTGTCAGTGAGAGTTAAAACACGCTGTGGGATCCTCTCTCTAGATGCCACTTTCAAAATACCTCGTTCTGTATTTACCTGTTGTTGAGTGTTTTCTAATCTGGGGAATTATTTCCACCTTGTCCCTCTTTTGTTAGATTTTCCAGTTTACCTTCCGCCCACACCAAGTTACTAAAACAATTCTTGGTGCTATTCCTAATTTTATCACAGAATGTTGCTAGATTGAAGAAAAAGGTTTTCTACTACTTAACTTTAGTTGATATCAAAATCTTATTCTACAATGAAGGGCGACGGTCGAGGGAAAGAGAGTGGGAGATCCTAGCTGGATCAAGAAAAGAGAGGGAGAACAAGGAATAGGAGACCATGGTAAATGAAGACCACATGAAAAGGGGAGGAAGCAGAGAGCTAGGGAGGCCCA